GGGGGTTGTTGTTTGTTTTTTATGTATTCGGGGTTTGAACCCAGGGGTGCTTTACCACTGAGCCATATCCTCAGCATTTTTTGAGACTGGGTCTCCCTAAGTTGCCCAGGCTGGCTTCAAATTTCTGATGCTCCTATCTCAGCCTCCCAAATAGCTGGAATTATAGTCATATGCCATTGTGCTTGGCTCCTTGCCCATGTTCTGACAGTCTTTATACCTAATTGCATTATCAAAGGCTGACATAGAAGTAAATTCAGACACAAGTATTGCTGGACTTGTCCAAAGAGGTCAAGAACAGGAGAACCCTTCCTCTGGGTCCTTAGTAACATACTTATTGGAAAAGGCTCTGCTGCAAGAAAATGAGTAATTGAGAAAGTGGCCTTGACACCATGTATCTGTATTGAAAATACCTTGAAGTCGATTAGTAAGGAACACAATTGCAGATAATAATCATAAAGGTTTTTAGTGGGGAAGAGACACTTTTATCAAGAAGCTATAGAGGTGAAAAATGTTGTACGTGTTTTTTTTTTGAGAGAGAAAAATTTTTTTTTAATATTTGTTAGTTTTCGGTGGACACAACATCTTTATTTTTATGTGGTGCTGAGGATCAAACCCAGCGCCCCACGCATGCCAGGCGAGCACGCTACCGCTTGAGCCACATCCCCAGCCCTGTTGTACGTGTTTCTATAGCCCAGCTGCAAGGGGGGGTACTTAAAGAGACTACTCACCCACAGTAGGTTCATCTGCATCATTCCAGAGCATTCTATCCTACCCCCAACCTATTTAATGTTTCCCTTATTGGCTTTGGCTGTCCTGTTCATTTATAGGTGTTTTAAGGATTTCCAGCTTCAGAGGGCCAACAAGATGGAGCTGCGAAAGCAGCAAGAAGATGTAAGTGTGGTCCGCCGCACCGAGTTTTACTTCGCTCAGGCACGGTGGCGCCTGACAGAGGAAGATGGACAGTTAGGAATTGCTGAACTGGAGCTACAGAGGTTCCTCTATAGCAAGGTATCTGAGATACAGACACACAAAGGCAACTCTTTAAAGCATTGACCTACCTCAAATCCTCAGTTCATATAAAGAGATTTAAAAGGGGGGGCTAATTAATATACGATTAGTAATGATGGCCGTGATTAGAAACATGAGCAGAGCTTCCTTAGATACTAAATGACACAAACATAGATATGTTTGATCAAATGCTTCTTTCACTAAGATTATCTATCCCTGCAAATGTGGCTCAGAGGGAAGTAATCTTCCAAGTCTAGCTTAGAATAGAAACATTCTAGGATGTGAAGGCGATCTGGCTACGACATCTGTCACCCCATTGATCACCAGGGTTGATTTAGCTGATCTGGCTGGCTAGTCGGGTGTCCCCTTCCTCCCTCACCGCTCCATGTGCATCCTTCCCGAAGCTGCATGCTCAGTTGAAGAGGACAACCTTCCCCGATAGAGGAGGACTTCTTTGGTAGCTGCACTTCCCTGCTAGAACCTCCAAATAAGCTCTCAAGGTCCATTTGTAGGAGAACATAGGTTAGTCAAGCTTCTAAGACTCTAGACACATCCAAATGAGGTGCTCATTTGGATGGGGAAGAGGACATATTCACTACTTTCTCTCACAGAGGATGTTTGGAAATGAATGAGAAAATTTTTAAATGTCACAGTGACTAGGAAGTCTGTTATCCCTAGCCAGGAGTACCAGTGAGAAACACTGGTTTAGTGGGTATGGTGATTCTGTGACATTTAAAGAGAGATCAAAGATTGGGACTAGGCACATGGAGGATCTGAAAACAAACAGGGTATTTAGCAGTTCTCTAGCAAGCTCCTAAGGTTAACTATAGTGGACTGGGGCAAAAATCTGTCTTTATAGGTGAATAAGTCTGATGACACAGCAGAACATCTTTTGGAGCTGGGCTGGTTCACTATGAACAACCTTCTCCCCAATGCTGTCTATAAGGCAAGTTTTTTTTTTTTCCTTTCTCTTTTATTGTGATACTGGGGATCAAACCCAGGGCCTTACATATGCAATACAAATACTCTTACGACTGAGCTACACCTTCAAACCTGTATAGCAAGTCTTATTTCCTCCTCACTGGTTCATATGCTTTTTTAAAAGCACAGGGCATTTATAATGGCTTTTCTGTGTAAACCCATTAAAAGAAACAATGTGGATCTGAGATGGTAAAATCTTGCTCAGTTTAGAATCTTGCTTCTCTGTATGGAGCATTTGTGGGTTGATTTGTGGCAATGAGGACATTTGATTGGGCTGTTGTTTACTCTGCCCTACAGGTAGTCCTACGGCCCCAGAGTTCCTGCCAGTCTGGGCGACAGTTAGCCCTCCGCCTCTTCAGCAAAGTCCGGCCTCCTGTGGGGGGTATCTCTGTTAAAGAACACTTTGAGGTTGGTACAGTCCCTTGGGAGCCCAGAAACAAAGGGCAATCCAAAGATATCTGTGTGTTATACTATGCTAATTAGGGGTAGGAAACTGAGGGATAGTGTTTGAGCTTAATTTCTTCAACTTTTTTTCCCTTTAGGTAAATGTGGTGCCTCTAACCATCCAGCTGACACACCAGTTCTTTCATAGAATGATGGGCTTTTTTTTTCCTGGACGAACTGTGGAAGATGATGAAGTTGGTGATGAAGAGGATAAATCCAAACTGGTGACTACTGGTAAGAACTTTTATGGTGGAGGACCAGAAGAATGGGGTGGCAGCCACAGAGATAGCAGATTGCTTCAGAAGGGGGATGGTAGTTGCTGTGCTTGCTTTTTCATAGGAATACCAGTGGTAAAGCCTCGGCAGCTAATTGCAACAGATGATTCCATACCTCTGGGCCCTGGGAAGGGTGTGGCACAGGGCTTGACTCGAAGTTCTGGGGTCAGAAGGTCATTTCGCAAATCACCTGAGGTACTACATATACCCCTGATAATAGAAAAGTGGGAGAATCTATTGGTCCTGGCTGGGGATTTCTCTTGTTTTCTTTGAGTCTACTCCAGGATTGAAAGGAAGGGGTGATATTTAGAGTCCTGCATTTCTTTTGATATTTCCAGAGGCTCATGATATTCTTGTGCTTTTCCCAGCATCCTGTGGATGACATTGACAAGATGAAAGAGCGAGCTGCCATGAACAACTCCTTCATCTACATAAAGATTCCACAGGTTCCACTGTGTGTCAGCTATAAGGTCTGTACCTCCTCAGCACTTTTTAGGAACAGGGAATTTAGAACAGAATGGAAAGGGTACCAGTAAAGATCATCAGGGATTATAATCAGAGATTATAGACAAACTGGGTGATAAATCTGCTGTTCCTTCTGCTTCCTGCAGGGGTTAGCATCTTACTAGACTGAGGTAAGGAGAAATCAGTATCTGTAGGTTGATGTTGCAGGACTGATTTACACTCAAGTACTGGCATAGATTCAGAGTAGTGCTTATGTACTTTTTCCCCCTCTTCTCTCCCCCTTCTCTTGCAGGGTGAAAAGAACAGTGTGGACTGGGGTGACCTTAATCTGGTGCTGCCTTGTCTGGAGTACCACAACAACACATGGACATGGCTAGACTTTGCCATGGCAGTCAAAAGGGATAGCCGCAAAGCCCTGGTTGCCCAGGTATCCCGCCAGGGCTCATGGCTGTTTGGTTAACAGGGGCTGGCAAGTAGATCCCCTGCTCAGGAACCTTTTTTAGGATATATTTAATAGTTGTTTTGAGAATGGGCAGGTGACTGAAGTGAAAGCCTTCTTCTCTTTTGTCCTCGCCACAACTTTGCCCAAATGATTAAATTAAATGTTTACTGCTTTGTGTAATGTTGACAACTATTAATTTTAGGGAACTAAGGGCTGCTACAACCTTAAGTTTAGAATGGGTTCTAATTAGACTGTGAGCTTCTTGAAAGCAGAGACCATTTTATAATTTGAGCTGCTCTCTTGTGATTTGTATATATGTTTAATAAATCTTGGTTGACTTGGTTCACTTTGATTTATTCTGCTTGCCCCACTAATATTTACCTTTCCTTTTACTCCTCTCCAACCTGCCAGGTAATCAAAGAAAAATTAAGGCTGAAGCCTGCAACAGGGTCTGAGGTCCGAGGGAAGCTAGAAACTAAATCAGACCTGAATATGAAACAGCAGGAAGAGGAGGAGAAAGCTCGGCTCCTCATCGGTTTAAGTGTGGGTGACAAGAACCCTGGCAAGAAGTCCATCTTTGGCAGGCGCAAGTGATCTGGCAATTCAAGTGGCTGCAGTACATGATCTGACTCTGGCTCAGGCCCAGGGACTTGTGGGATGGGAGGGGCTTCCCCTTATCCACCAGGATTTGTGGGGGTTTAGAGCCCACAGAGTACTATGGAGGGAGGCATAGCTCTTTAGCAGCTGGCCTGTTCCCCGCAGGGCATGGTGGACAATAATACTGAGTTCATCTCATGCTGATTAGGCCCAGGGCCAAAGAGGCAAGAAGAGAGCAAGACCCCAGGGAATGGACCCATGGCTGGGATCCTGTTTCCTTGGGGTCAAGTGGAAGGGTGGGGGAAGAGTCCTGATCAAGTATGATAAATTTTTATAGACATATATATATATATATATAAATATATATATACACACACACACACATATAAATATATTTCTAAGCATAACTGCTTTCCCTCTGTGCCAGGAAGCCAAGGGGAAGGGGCTGATCCTCTGTCCCTCCTCTACTGCCTTGTATGAAAAAGGTATTAGTGTTCTAGGGGAGAATCAGCTTCTCCCCAATCTGTGTGCTAACTTGGGAGGATGGCAATAGGAGCTAGGGCTGGCCATGGGTTCCCTACTCTTCCCCCGGATTATGCCCTGGAGAATGGCAAAAAAAATGACCTAAGGAGAAAAAAAAAATATTTTAAATTTGATGCTGTTTTTTTGGTTTATTTTTTGTGTTAAGTGCATGTGTTCAAACTGTCTGTATCCTTTTCTCCCCACCTACCTGAAACATCCTATAGCTGCCACTCTGAGGGTGGCCTCTTTTCTTCTGTGCCTGAAGATTCTATCACAGATACTTGCCAGTCCTCGTATGACATTGGTCCAAAGCTGATGGGTCTGTGCACATTAGAACAGGCGGGGCTCCTGTTTAATTCAGCATCCAGTGGAGGGATTGCTTATATAACTGGGACAACAGATTTAGTGGAAGGAGAGAGGAGGCAAAGGCTGGGAATGGGAGCGGTGAGCTGTCGGCAGGGGCAACACACCCAGGTGACTGCACCTCACAAGGTAGGCTGTGGGGGCTCTGGCAGCCTATTGAAAGTGAAGGAGGCATGGGCCTCCTGAGGCCCAGGAAGTGCCTAGTTACTAGCATGTCAGTGATACCCATTGTGGGGGTGGGACAGGGAGACTGTGATGTGAAAGCATTGCAGCCCTGTTCTGAGGCACAGGTTGTTTTCCTGGTGCATCATGAAAAAAAATTCCAACGGTTGCTTTACTAGAGGATTTGAATTATGTCCAGGAAATCCAGATCTTCTCACAAAGCAAGGGTAATAGGAATTTTGATTGGTATTCAAAAATGTACCTCTAGTGATTGAGACTTGAGGGGAGTGCCTACTAAGATGTGCAGAAACTGTAATACTTCAGGGCCAGGTTTAGAGTGGCTCCCTTGCTTCTCAGCAGGGTGACAACATCCAGGGCCCCTGGGTCCGAGGCTGGAAGAGCCTCTGGTCAGGTATGGGGACCATCAGGTCAGGTCTGGAAGAACTATGGCAACTACAAGGGCATCAATGCCTACACCAGAAGCCCCTAGAGGCGACCCCACTGCTGGTAGAGAAGCCTTTGTCTGAGTGGCCAGTGCCTCAGTTCATCAGCCTCTTTCTACCAGAGTTTCCCATGAGGCCCATTAGGGGGCAGCAGCAGTTGAAGGTAAGACATCTGAATCCCTGGGAGTGGGTCTCTTTGGGGGAAATCTATAAACCATCTTTCTATTCTCTTTCTCTATATAGATTTTAGGTCTTGTGGCTAAAGGCTCTTTTGGAACTGTCCTGAAGGTGCTAGATTGTGCCCAGAAAGCTGTATTTGCAGTGAAGGTAGGGGCCTGGGTACTCCTTCACATTATTCTCTAGTTCCTGCTTCCCATCTTTGTTCCTGAGAGTTTCAGAGGAATAAACAATTCAATTGCATGATTTTCTATAAGTCATCACTCTTTCCTTTTATAGGTGGTACCCAAGGTGAAAGTCCTACAGAGGGACACCCTGAGGCAGTGCAAAGAGGAGGTCAGCATCCAGGTATGCACAGAGTCCTGGAAGGATGATGGGAAGAACCACAGGAAAGCATCATTCTTGACCAGCTTTTCTAATTTTTCTGGTTCTGTTCTCCCCATCTGCTTGAACCTTAACACCAAAGTAGATCCTAAAAAACGTAGCTAATACCTATTAACACAGTTATTCTAGGTTCTGTGAGGGAAATCTCTCCAGCATGTCCTAGTGTGTTCTTTAGTGTTATGCTGGTTCCAAGATTACCAGGTAGTCCTAATTACTGAGTTCCTCTGAATGCAGAGTTGAAGTAGCTGCTCAATTTCTGCACAACCTGATTTCTTGGCTGACTCTCTCTTCAGTGACACTGTTCTTTTCCTAACTTCCTGATTTCTTTGTCCCTAGAGACAGATCAACCACCCTTTTGTACACAGCTTGGGGGACAGCTGGCAGGGAAAACGGCATCTCTTCATCAGTGAGTGACTGGCCTCTTTCCTCATCCCCTAGGGTCCACCTACCATTGTTACCTATCTCTTTGGGCTTATTTTGCCTTTGCTGTCTTCCCCTTCTCATAGCACTTCTCTATTCCAAAGGGAGAGGGAATAGCAGGTGATATCAGTTTGGATAGGAGGCCTATAATGCCTTGAGCCCTGGCGTTGTAATCCCCCAAACATTGCCTAGATTTCTGGTGCTTTGCAGTGTGTATCTACTGCAGCACTGATCTGTACTCCCTGTGGTCTGCTGTTGGCTGCTTTCCTGAGGCTTCCATTCGTCTCTTTGCGGCTGAGCTGGTCCTTGTGCTGTGTAAGTAAGAAAGGGAAATGGGAAGGGAATAATTAAGTTGATGGGGAGGAGAGAATTGATATTAACTCTGGAAGCCAAAGAATAAGGAGAAAGATAAGGTAGGGGTTACCAGGGAAACTGGAAAGAACAGGAGAACTTCAGTACACACCATGCTTACTGTCATCCACAGGCTATCTCCATGACGTGGGCATCATCCATCGAGACGTGAAGGTAGAGTTAAGTGTTTTTTCACTTACTGATGTGGGGGTTCAATAAGAAGTTCCAACAGGTCTGAGGAGAAAGCAGTTGGAGAGCTGAGAACATTTGATCATGGGGCCCTAGTGGGTGCCAAGGATTTGTGTGATGGCTCTTCCAAATATAGCTTTGAATGCTGAGTAAGGGCACCTTCTTCATTTTGAAGGGTATACATGATAAAAGAGTTGAAGAGGAATAATAATAACTTCTCCTCTGTGATCTTTCAGATGGAGAATATCCTTCTGGATGAAAGAGGTAAGTCTTTTCTTCCCTAGCCCCAAGATGAGAGATACCCTTATCATGGCTGATCAGGGGTGGAACAGAGTGCTGTTGGGTTGCCTTATGTTCTTTCATAGGCCATCTGAAACTGACAGACTTTGGTCTGTCCCGCCACCTGCCCCAGGGAGCCCGAGCCTATACTATCTGTGGCACTCTTCAATACATGGGTGAGAGAGGCTAAAGCTGGTGGGTAAATACTGGACTGGTATATAGCCAAAGGATGTCATGATGGGTATCTTTCAAATCCATAGCCCCAGAGGTCCTGAGTGGTGGGCCTTACAACCATGCTGCTGATTGGTGGTCCCTGGGTGTCTTGCTTTTCTCTCTGGCAACTGGAAAGGTGAGAGATTGGTAGTGGTATTGGGCAGAGAAGAGAACTTTGCCCTGTGGTGGGAAGAAGGAAGACCTTAGGAAATCATGTCTCATTCCCTCCTCCACCTCTTCACTCAGTTCCCAGTGGCTGCAGAGAAAGATCATGTGGCCATGTTGGCAAGTGTGACCCACTGTGACTCTGAAATTCCAGCTTCTCTTAACCAGGAGCTCTCTCTCCTGCTTCATGAGGTAAGGGTTAGCACTGCTTTCCTTATTGACTGTTAAACCATTCAATGCCCTATCATTAAGGTGATATTTCCCATTTCTCTGATTAATACTTTTTGGGGTTTTTGGGGGATTACTTCAACTTAATCTAATTATCTGCCCTCTAACCATACATTCCTGAGTTCCTGGTCCTCCAAATCACCTCACCATCCAGAACAGACAGATCCTTTCAGAGTCTTGACCAGTGCTGCACTCTTCCCATCTGAAAATTCACACATCCTAGCTCCTTTATTTCTACCTTTGCCTCAAATTAGCCTGTTTATCCCCCTTTTACAAATCTTTTACTCTTTAGAGTTCTTTTCCCTGTTCTCCACAGCTCCATGAACTTCATTCTCCCTTTTCATGATCTTTGTTTAGTCTCTTTCCTGTCCCAATTCCTCATCCTTCATACTCTATTTCCCTTTAGCTCCTATGCCAGAACCCCCTCCACCGTCTACGTTATCTACATCACTTCCAGGTCCACCCCTTCTTTAGGGGTGTGACCTTTGACCCAGAGCTCCTACAGAAGCAGCCAGTGGACTTTGTCATGAAGACACAAGATACTCAGCCCAGTCCATTGGAGTCCAAACCCTTCAAGGACTTTGACTGTGATCTGGAGTCCTTCCTGGTCCACTCTGTCCCTGCTTGACCCTGTCTACTATAGATTGGGGCCCAGCTGGGAACCTGAGGATCTCTTCCACTACCAACTCAGTATTACCACTTTGATGATCTAGTTTTGACTTTGTAGCCCCTTACTATTCTATTCTTCTAGGCATTAGTCTAGAGTTCAAATTTTGGGCACTCAGTTCCCCATCATACAACTTACCGGTTCATATAACATCTCAGGTCAGAGTGGTAACTTTTTCCTTTGTTTCACTTCTCCAGTCTGTAGCAAAAGGCTTCCTCTACCTTTCTCTTTCCTTGTTTCTTTGCCATGTTTCCTTTCTTGGGTAATAACAACACTTCATGGACTCCAAAGGTGCTATTTATATGTTTAATAGGCTAGTCAGAAGAAATATGTTTTTCAAAGGCTTAAAAAGTTGGCATCTTAACACCTAAATATGCAGCTAAAAAATAGAGTCTGGGAGTTGGGCATAGTGATGCATGTCTGTAATTCTAGCTACTTGGGAGGATAAGGCAGGAAAAGTTTGAGGCCAGACTTGGCAACTTAATGTCTCAAAATGGAAAAAAAAAAGGCTGGGGATATAGTAGAATGTTCTTGAGTTCAACCCACAATACTGGGGTTAGGGGGAACTAAAACAAAAACTGGGGCTAAAGGTCAGTTGTCAGTAAATCTAATTTTTAAAAATTGGAAAATGAGCTAGGTATGGTGGTGCATGCCTGTAATCACAGAAACTTGGGAAGCTGAGGCAGGAGGATCATAAGTTCAAGGTGAACCTCAGCAACTTAGCAAGACCATGTCTCAAAATAAGAAATAAAAAGGGCTGGGGTTATAGCTCAGTGGTAAAGCACCCCTAGGTTCAATAATTAATACCAAAAAAAGGTGGGGGGAATGAATGCAATAGCCTAAAGTGAAAAAGAAAATAGAAACTAAAACATGGGGGATTAAATGTCTTCTCTAGGGGTAACTGGAATAGCTACCAAAATATTTTCCAAAAGACGAAAAGAAGTAGTGAACTGAACATTTCTCCTAGACAGCTCAAAATGCAGTTTTTTATCGGCAAATCAAGGGATTCAAAGGCATACATCAACCTTAAGATTTAAGGTTAGAGATGTATCTCAAGAACCTTTTCCTTTTGTAAGAAAAATCACCTGGTCCTTGAATTTACAAACAATTCTTTTTTTTTTTTTTTTTTTTTTTTTTGGTGCTGAGGATTGAACCCAGGGCCTTGTGTATGCAAGGCAAGCACTTTACCAACTGAGCTATATCCCCAGCCCTACAATTCTTTTATGACTTTCTTTTTTCATTTTCCTAAACTAACTTCTCAGAAGCTTCATTTTAATTCTGATATTTGAGGGGAAAATTTGCTTTTAGCTGGGCATGATGGTGCACATCTATAATCCCAGCAGCTCTGGAGGCTGAGGCAGGAGGATTATGAATTCAAAACCAGCCTTAGCAACTTAGGGTCTTGCTGAATTCTTGGTGCCTCACTATCTCTAAATAACATATAAAAGGGCTAGGAATATAGCTCAGTGGTGGAGCACCCTTGTGTTCAATCCTTGGAATTACCCACCCCCCCCAAATTTGCTTTTATATAGACCACGTTATATCTTCAATTATATCTGTTCTCTCTTTTCCAATCCAAAGAGTCTGAGAGTATCCTGTATATTTGTGCTTATTATTTCTGTCTCTGTATTAAGCCAGATTTTGCCTGTATATAATTGGCATTTTGTTAGTCTCTGCAGAATTGCTTTTTCTGGATTGTACTTCAGCAGTCCATATGAATCTCTATAAAACTTGAGTCTGTAAAAAGGTGTTAATCATTACAGTTCATAAATTTTCTCTGTGTCTAGTTGTGCTTTTCCTGAATTGCTGTTTGGTTTTTACCTTAAAGATAGTAAATATTCAACTGACTATCTTTTTCTTCTCATGCTAATATTAGACTACTTAAAGCCCAAATTGTGCCCCACCTTCAGCAACCATTTATGTATTTTGCATGTTAGTCACATTCTTGGTTCCAACTTGCTTTTATTTTCCTTATTCTCAGTTTTCTATTCTAATCTTTTTAAAAATTACTGTATTATCTACATTTTTGTAAGCCTTTTTTGGAATAAGATTGGGATATAAATAAATAAAAGAATGTATCCTTTATCCTTTTATCTCATTTTTATAGTTTTATTACTTTTAAAAAGTTGTGATGAGGGCTGGGGATGTGGCTCAGTGGTAGAGCACTTGCCTCACATGTGTGAGACACTGTGTTCAATTCTCAGCATTGCATATAAATAAGGAATAAAATAAAGGTCCATCAACAACCAAAAAAAAAATTGTAATGAACAGAATTATATATTGGATAAAATCCCTAAACATAAAAAAAATGGGAATTAATGGTTTCTAAAATAGCAGTTAAGAGCATTAGCTTAGAATTTATATCTGATGCCTAGATTTATCTGTCTCTGTCTTTTTTGGGGGGTGGGGGTACTGGAGATTGAACTCAGAGGCACCTGACCACTGAGCCATATCCCCAGCCCTATTTTGTATTTTACTGAGAGACAGGGTCTCACTCAGTTCCTTAGTGCCTCGGTTTTTTTGCTGAAGCTGGCTTTGAACTCGAGATCCTCTTGTCTTAGCCTTCTGAGCCACTGGGATTACGGGCATGTGCCATGGTGCCCAGCTATCTCATTGTTTTTAAATAAGTCATTTCAACCCTTCTGGAGCATAGTTTCCTGATAAATAAAATAATCACTGGTTCTTTATTTATCTATTATTATTTTTTTTTTTGGGGGGGGGTGCCAGGGAGGTTTCTTACTCTAACCTAAGGGTCTGGGATATACTCAACAAGCACTCTACCACTGAGCTGCATCCCCAGCCCTAACCACTGGTTCTTAATTGTGGAGGGGTGGGATTCAGATTTCAGTGATGCTTTTTGAAAGGTAGATAGAGAAATTTTATGATACTATATTTCTGGTTCAGTGTTAATGTTAGGTTATCCACCATTATGTGGCATTTCTGGTCACAGCAGCACAATGTGTTAAGATCCTTAGGAAATGTTTAACGTAGTGTCACTAGAATCCTTTTCCTAGGTCAAATTAGATAGCTTAGAGATCATCATCATGTAAGTGTAGTTTGAATTATTTCTTACCAAATAAGGACATTTTTTTGGGTGGCTACATGGTGCAGTGAATAGCACACTGGACTTCCAAATGAGGACATTTTCAACATACTCTTCAGTGGTATACTTCAGCAGTGATTTTCAGGGTATAGTGGAGAAGGTAAAAGAAAAAAAATTAAGTGAAAAGCTGAAAAAACTGGCTGACCTCGAACTTGCAATGCTCCTGCCTCAGCCTCCTAAGTAGCTGGGTTATAGGTATGTGCCACTGCACCTGACTCATATTTTTTTTTTAAAGCTCTTGACAAAAAAAAAAAAACTTTTTGAAAATTCTACTTAAAAGAAGTAACCAGTGAGCTGGGCATGTTGGCACATGGCCTGTATCCCAGCTACATGGGAAGCTGAGGCCCTCAAGTTTGAGGCCACCTCGGCAAATTAGCAAGGCCCTCAGCAACTCAAAAAATAAAAAGAACTGGGGATGTAGCTCAGTGGTGAAGTGCCCTTGGGTTAAATCCCCAGTACCAAAAACAACAACAAAAACAAAACTACATTATTAATTCCTGTTATGGGCTGAATTGTGTCCTCACCAAAATTGTTATGTTGAAGTCCTAACCTCCAGTACCTCATAAAGTGATTTTATTTAAAAATTAGTCTTTAAAGAGGTAATCAAGAACAGATTTGGACATAGAAGGAAGATCATTTGAAGACAGGAAGAAGATGGGTATGTGTAAACCAATGAGAGAAGCCTCCCAACCCTGTTGGCACCTTGATCTCAGATTTATAGCTTCCGGAATTATGAGAAAATAAATTTTTGTTGTTTAAGCCATCCTGTAGATAGAACTTTGTTAAGGCAGCCCTAGCAAACTAATACAATTCTTATGAAGAATTTTAAAAGATTAATCAGGAATGATTATTTTGTTTACAAAAGGGCTACTTTTCCCCCTATAGGTTGGTTTTGCTTATATTCTTTTTTTAGTTGTAGATGAACACAATACCTTTTGTTTATTTATTTTATGTGGTGCTGAAGATCGAACCTAGTGCCTCACACGTGCAAGGTAAGCACTCTACCACTGAGCCACAACCCCAGCCTGCTTATATTCTGAGAATATGTTTCAGATTTTATTGGCCTCTCCATGAGTTTTGCTGGTATACAGAGTCCTATTGATTAGCAACTGTCACACTGCCTGCCTTGTTCAGTATACCATTATACAATAGCAGGTGTCACCGTCTATCCTAGCTGGCAACCCAATGCTGGGTTCACAAAATCTGACTATTCCAATAACTCAAAAAAAAAATGACAAAGAAAGCATGCAACCACAGAGAGTTACCTTTTCAATATTCCTGAGACAGCTCCGTGTCCTTAAGAGTCCGTGGAAAGAGAGAGAGCCACCAAAATTCTTTATTCTTAAATAAGGAACACACAAAGGGAGGTTCCATGGAGCATTCTATCTCCAAAAGGGCAAAAGGGTAGGATTACAAAGGAACAGGTGAGTGTAACTCAACCACCACAGGTGATGCCTGTATCTGGAGCCACACCTTGCTATCTGAGCTGGGATAATACCCAAGTCACTATAAAATGTAGTAATTGGTCAGAGCCCCAGGGCATCAGGACTTGAAGGCGTGTTCATCCAAGGCAGCTCCTGACAAGCAGGGATAACAATTCCATAGTTTATCATTTGATTCTGCTCAAAAATGTCTAGTGGATATTTACAGGGTAGTTGATTTGGATTACATAGTTAGATTTTTATAAAATAAAAAATTTCTAGTCCTAAAATTTAAAAATTATAAATTTTAAAATAGTTGAAACCCTATCTCATATTGTGCTATATACTTAATTCTAAATATTTAAATGTAATCATGAAAACATTAAAAATCTTAGAACAGGAGGCTGGGCTTGTAGCTCAGTGGTAGAGTGCTTTCCCTGAATGTGGAAGGCACTGGGTTCGAGCCTCAGCACCACATAAAAATAAAATAAAGGCATTGTATCCATCTACAAATGGAAAAAAAAAAAATCTTAGAACAGGGACTGGGACTGTAAGTAGTAAGGTGCTTGCCTAGCACGTATGAGGCACTAGGTTTGATTCTCAGCACCACATAAATAAATAAATAAATAAATAAATAAATAAATAAATAAATAAATAAATAAAATAAAGGTATTCTGTCCATCTACAACTAAAATATAAAAATAATTATCCCAACTTATTAAAAAATAACATTAAAAAATAAAGGTATTGGGGCTGGGATTGTGGCTCATGTGGTAGAGTGCTTGCCTCTAGCATGTGTGAGGTACTAGGTTCGATCCTCAGCACCACATAAAAATAAAATAAAGATATTGTATCCACCTAAGACTGACTAAATAAATAAATATTTTTTTAGAAAGGTATTGTGTCGGGCTGGGGATGTGGCTCAAGCGGTAGCGTTCTCGCCTGGCATGCGTGCGGCCCGGGTTCGATCCTCAGCGCCACATACAAACAAAGATGTTGTGTCCGCCAAATACTAAAAAAAAAATATTAAAAAATCTCAACCACATAAAAACTATAGCTAGCTGAGAGTGGCAGGGCATGCCTGTAATCCCAAGGGCTCAGGAGGCTGAGGTAGGACTGAAAGTTCAGTGCCAGCCTCAGAAATTTAATGAGGCTAAGCCACTTAGTAGACCTTGTCTCTAAATAAAAAAAAGAGCTGGGGATGTGGCTCAGTGGTTAAGTGCCCATAGGTTCAATCACCAGTAACGCCACCTCCCCCCCAAAAAAAACATACTATAGCTAAAGATATTATTAATCAAATCAGTGGACAAAAAATATATTTAAAAAAAAGTGTCAGGAGTGGTGGCACATATGACTTGGTAGGCTTAGGCAGGAAGATCTGAAGTTCCACACCAGCCTCAGCAATTTAGTGAGGCCCCAATCAACTTAGTAAGACCCTGTCTCAAAAAAAAAAAAAAAAAAAAAATGCGGGTGGGTAGGTAGGGCTGAAGATGTAGTTCAGTGGTAAAAATGTAGTTCTGGGTTCAATCCCCAGTATCCCCCTCAGAATTCTTACAAACTAGAACTTTTTAAAAATATTTTTTAGTTTTAGGCAGATACAATATCTTTAGTCTACATTTATGTGGTGCTGAGGAACGAACCCAGTGCCTCTGCATGCTAGGTGAGCACTCTACCACTGAGCCACGACCCCAGCCCCAAACTAGAATTTTTTTCAAAATAAGCATAAGGAATATGAACTTATAAAATAATTAGACCTATATTAGTTGGTTAGGCAGGATTTTTGCAGGAAAATCACAAGTTTGAGGCCGACAGGAGCAATTTATCAAGACCCCCCTCTCAACAATAAAATTTAAAAAAGGGCTGGGGATATCAGTGGTAAAGTGCTCCTGGTTCAATCCCCAGTACCCGCCCCCAAATTCCATTTTTTTTAGTTAATTATTTTTTATTTGTTCTAATTAGTTACCAAATTCCATTTTTGTACAAGACTTAATGATGTCTCCCCCTCCCATGTATGTATGTGTGTGTGTTTTATTTTTATGTGGGACAGTTAGGAAGAGGTAAGAAAGAAAGGTAAGGGAAAGAACCTGGAAGGGATTGAGGTATAATGCAAGTGGGAAAAAGAAGGGGAAAGAAAGAAAAGCATTAGTTCTCAATCTCAGACAATGCATCAGCTAATTTTTGGAAAAAATAAAATCTGTATGTATGTGTAAACAAACTGTTATATATGTATGTGTGTATGCATATACTTTATAATGGTGTACATATAGTTGGGTCCCTTAAGAGGACAGAATGGATGGGAGAGTCTGCCTTTACCATATCTTTGCATTTTATTGTTTCACTTGCTAGAACAATATAGCATTTGTTGAAAACCATCAAATTTTAAAGTTATGTAAAACAATATAATCTAATTTTGTTTATATCCTGGTCTTTCCAAATTGCTTGGAAGCACCATATGCCTGTAGCTGTCCTCCTGACATCTGACATGCCAACTGCAACAAGGAGTAAAAAGTTTCCAGTTAACTCATTTTTATAATACAAGCTTTTATTCCTGGCATTTGGAGTTCTCTGCCTTGGTTTTCCTGTCACTTCCCAACCTTGTTTTTTGTTTTTGCTTGATCCCCTGCACCAGTACTGTGAATTGAACCACCCAGGGCCTTTAAGATATTAGGTAAGAACTCTACCACTGAGCTACCTTCCCAGCCCTTTTTAAAATTTTGAAATTGGATCTCATTAAATTGTCCAGGCTGGCCTTGAACTTGTGATTCTCTTGCCTTCTAAATAGCTGGGATTATACTTCTGTGCCACCCTATCTAGCAAAAGAGAAAAGGGGACTGGCCAGTGTGGTGGCATACACCTGTAATCCCAGCAGCTGGGGAGGCTGAGACAGGAGGATCATGAGTTCAAAGACAGCCTCAGCAACTTATCGAGGTACTAAGCAACTCAGTGAGACCCTGTCTCTAAATAAAATGCAAAATGGGTGGCTGGGGAGATAGCTCAGTTGGTAGAGTGCTTGCCTCTTGCATAACGCCTTGAGTTCAATCCCCAGCACCACCAAAAAAAACGGAAAATGTTCTCTGAACTTGGGAGCCTCATGCAAGTGCTCTACCACATACCTACAATCCCAGCCCTGTTGAGTCTTTGATTGACCACAAATACTACTTCGGATTCCCTCTCTTGAGTTTCAGACAATCCCAAATTCAAGATGGGCTCCTCAAGGGTAGGGATTGGCAGAGTGCAAGCTTAGCCCTGGGGGTGGTGGGGAGATTTGTCCTTTTTTTTTTTTTTTTTTTTTTGCAGTGTTAAGGATGGAACCCAAGATTGTCCATTTATTTAGTTTTCCCCCTGGTTTTCATTTAAGCAGTGATCATTTCTAGTGCCTGCAAGCTGTACCATTATGTTTCTAGACCAACACTATCCAATAGAAATATAATGCAAACATCCTGGCATGGTGGTGCATGCCTGTAATTCCTAGCAACTGGGGAGGCAGAGGTGGGAGGATCAAAAGTTTGAGGTTAGTCTTGGCAACTTAAGGAGACTGAGTTTCAAATAAAAAGGGTGTGGGGGCTGGGGGTATAGCTCAGTGGTAGGGTGTCCCTGACTCTATCCCAGGTACTGGGAAAAAAAAAAAAAAAAAATATATATATATATATATATATTGCAAGCCACAGAAGTAATTTTGCCAGCCAACTCAAAAAAGTAAAAAAGGTAAAATTAATTTTGCTTTTATTTAACCCAAAATATCTAAAATAATTTCAACATGTAATTAATATTTTAAAATAAGATTTTACATTATTGGGGCTGGGGTTGTGGCTCAGCGGTAGAGCACTTGCCTACATGTGTGAGGCATTGAGTTCAATCCTCAGGACCACATATAAATAAAGAAAATAAAAGTCCATCAACAACTAAAAAATATTTAAAAAGAAAAAATTTTACATTCTTTTTTTTTCCTGCAAAGTTTGAAATCCAGTGTACATTTTAAACTTATAATACATCCCAGTGTTGGACTAGACATTTGAAGAACTCAGTGTCATATGGCCAGGACTCAAGGTATGGGATAATAGTTGTAGTGGAGCCCATCCCCTGAGGCTTGTGGATTAGTTTTTCCTCTTTGTATTGCTGCTTTTCCCAGTTCACTAAGACTTCCAGAGTCCTGGGTTGGAGGATATAGCTCAGTAGAGTGCTTGCCCAGTAGGTTGGAGGCTGCTCTGGATTCCATCCCCAGCAATACACCCACACACAAATTGTCAGAGTGTTTTAAAAAGGGGGGGGGGGGTTCATTGGCATTAAAAACAAACACACAGACTCACAGATGCAGTTAACTGATCCTTGGCAAAAGTGCCAAAATACACATTGGAGAAAAGACATTATTTTAAACAAATAGTGCTGGGAAAACTGGATATCCATATGTAGAAGAATGAGATTAGATCTTTATGTCTTGCCCGGAACAAAAATCAACTCAAAATAGATCAAAGATCTAGGAATGACCAGAAACTATGCAACTCCTGGGAAAAAAAAAAAAAATGCAGGATCAACACTCCAGCATATAGGCACAGAAAATATCTTTCCCAATAAAACCCCTAAAGCTCAGGAAATAATACCAAGAGTTAATAAATGGGAGGGCATCAAATTAAAAAGCTTCTGCACAGCAAAGGAAACAAGAATGTGGAGAAAGAATGGGAGAAAAGCTTTGCTAGCTACTCTTCTGACAGAGGATTAGAGTCTGGGATATACAAAGAACTTAAAAGACTCAACATCAAAATAAATAGATAGCCCAATGAATAAATGGGCAGATGAATTAAACAGACATTTCTCAAAAGAATAACTATAAATCTATGCATTGCCCAGGCTCGCCTCCAACAAATATATGAAAAAAAAAAAATGTTCAACATCATTAGCAATTGGGGAAATTCAAATCATCACCATAGAGAAATTTTCTCTCACTCCATTCAGAATGGTAGCTGTTTTAGTCAGGTTTTTATTTTATTTATTTGCCAACCAAAAAAAAAAAAAAAAACACCTGACAAGAACAATTAGAGGATAGAGGGAGGGAGAGAGAGGAGGAGAGACAGAAAGAGGGAAAGGAGGGGAAGGAGGTGGGAGGAGAGAGGGGGAGAGAGTGAGAAAGAGAGAAGACAGAGAAAAAGAGGGAGGTCTCTACTCCCTAACAAAACATAAACCCCAAAGGCATGCCCCAAGGACCCACTTTCTTCAGCCATACCCTACCTGCTCCCAGTTATCACTCAATTAATCCATATCAAGGATTAATTCACTGATTGGGTTAAGGCTCTCATAACCCAATCATTTCACCTCTAAACCTTTCATTGTCTCACACTGGAACTTTTGGGAGACACCACATATCTAACAATGAAAGTAGCCATCAAGAATACAAACAATAATAAAAGTAATAAATACTAGAGAGGATGTGAAGAAAAAGGAACACTTTTACACTATCAGTGGGATTTTAAGTAAGTACAACCATGGAAATCAGTATGGAGATTCCTCAAAAGACTAGGAATGGAATCACCAAATGACCCAACTATACCTCTCTTTGGTATTTATCCTGAAGAATTAGTCATCCTACTATAGTGATACATTCATACTCATGTCTATAGCAGCACAATTCACAATCTCCAAAGAATGGAACCAGCCTAGCTTTCCATCAACAGATGAATGGATAAAGAAGTGGTATAAATACATAAGGGAGGGTTGGGGTTGTGGCTAAGTGGGGAGCACTTGCCTGGCATGTGTGAGGCATTGGGTTTGATTTTCAGCACCACATATAAATAAATAAAATAAAGGTCCATTTACAACTAAAAAATTTAAAAAAAAATAAAAATACACAATGGAGTTTCATTCAGTCATAAAGAAAAATGAAATTATGTCATTTGAGGAAAATACCTCAAATGCAAAAGGTCAAGCGCTATATGTTCTCTCTTGTATGTGGAAACTAGAGAGTAAAAAGGAAAAGAAAGAGGGGGATGACCTCATGAAAATCAAAGGGAGATTAGTAGAGTAGAAGAATGGGGGTGGGTGGAATTGAGGAAAAGGGAAAATATTGGGGAGGAATATTGGCCAAATTATATTATTGTGTGTATGTATGAATATGTAACAACAAATCCAACTACTATATACAACTATAATGCACCAATAAAAATGTTGAAAAATATTCAAAAGTTAAAAAGGTTCAAAGAAACACTATCATCAAGGATTAACTTGAATACTTACTTTTCAGGCATAGTGGAGCTGTCTATAGTCTGGGCTATTTGGAAGCTGAGGGAAGAGGATCACTTGAATTCAATTTGAGGCGAGCTTGGGCAATGTAGTAAAACTCTGTCTCAAAACAAACAAGAAGAATGCCATCCTCAATGGGCAGATTTACCATAAAGAGGGATTCCAGAGACAGTAGTAGATTAGAGTAGTTGGAAGTGTGGATTGGAAAACTGGCCCTGCTATTAACTGTGGAATACTGGACAAATTACATTCTCTGACTGATTTCCTTCATCTATAAAATGAGGATATTTGTGTGTGTGTGTATACCAGGGATTGGCCACATCCCCAGACCTTTTTTTTTTTTTTTTTTGGAGAAGTTTATTCCTAATTAAATTATTTTGTGGCACTGCAATTGCAGATATCTTTCATTCTTTTTTTTCTATTTTTTTAAAATGTTAATTTGTTACGTATGACAACAGAATGCATTACAATTCACGTTACACATATAGAGCACAATTTTTCATTTCTGGTTGTACACAAAGTAGAGTCACACTATTCGTGTCTTCATACATGTACTTAGGGTAATGATGTCCGTTTCATTCCCCCATCTTTCCTACCTCCATGCCCCCTCCCTTCCCTTTTACTCTTTGCCCTATCTAGAGTTCATCTAATCCTCATGTGCCCCACCCACCACCACATTATGAATCAGCAACCTTAAATCAGAGAAAACATTTGGCATTTGGTTTTTTGGGATTGGCTAACTTCACTTAGCATTATATTCTCCAAATCCATCCATTTACCTGCCATGATTTTATTCTCTTTTATTGCTGAATAATATTCCATCGCACACGCGCGCGCGCGTGTGCGTGTGTGTGTGTGTGTGTGTGTGTGTGTGTATATTTTCTTTATCCATTCCTCTATTGAAGGGCATCTAGGTTGGTTCCACAGTTTAGCTATTGTGAATTGTGCTGCTATAAACATTGATGTGGCTGTGTTCCTGTAGTATGCTGTTTTCAAATCTCTCACCAAAAAACAAACAAAAAAAAAAAAAACACCTTGGGAATCAACTTAAAAAGAGGTGAAAGACCTCTACAACAAAAACTACAGAATGCTAAAGAAAGAAGACCTTAGAAGATAGAAAGATCTCCCTGTTCTTGGATAGGCAGAATTAATATTGTCAAAATGGCCATACTACCAAAAGCACTACACAGACTTAAAGCAATCCCAACCAAAATCCCAATGACATCCCCAGTCCTTTTTATTTTTTATTTAGGCCTTTTCAACTTTCCCTTTTAGCCCTGTATGGCAGGCGCACACTTGTAACCCCAGTGAGGCGGGAGGCTCAGGCGGGAGAATCGCAAGATCAAAGCGAGCCTCAGCAATTTAGTGAAGCCCTAAGCAATTTGATGAGATCCTATCTCAAAATAAAAACATAAAAAGGGCTGCGGATGTGGCTCAGTGGTTAAATGCACCTAGATTCAATCCCTGGTACCAAAACAAACAGAAACAATAAAACATAATCGATTTTCACTTCCAGGGTCCCAGGCCCGCTCAGTCAGAAGAGGCTGAAAGTAACCAAGAGGTCAGGAAGGAAACACCAGGAGAGACTTGTTAAGGCCTGGGTATACAGACAACTTTTCAATTAGGGCGCTCCGCTGAAAGCAGCACGGTCGGACTTCTAGACCCTCCAGCTACCTGGGGTGTCTCCCCCGACTTGAGGACATCAAGACTCCAAGACCCATCGTAGATCTGATGCAGGTCCTCCCTGCAGCCGGCATCTGCGGCCGAGAGTAGGTCAGAAATTAACTGCAGGGCGGGAGGGGGTCGTGGTCAACACTGGCTCCGCCCACCGGGCTCGAGCCCGGAGCTGACCCGTATCCTGACGCACTGCGGCTCCGCAGCCAATCCGGAAGCACCGAGCAGGTTCAAATAAAGACGGCGGGTGAATATGGCGGACTCGACTTGGTCTGGGAGGTGATCGTCCCGCTTTCAGTTTTGAAGATGTGGCGGGTAAAAAAGTTAAACATCAGCCTGTCGCCCTCGCCCCAGCTGGTGAGCGGGAGAGCTCCCACGGAGAAAGAACTGTGTGCGGAATACTGGGGCGGGGGCGCTGGCGGTGCTGAGGGTCCTGGAAAGCTGGATGGAGCTGGGGCTGGGGAGTGTTTGGAGTCTTTGTCGCTTTGCCTCTTCAGCAAGACTGGGATTGGAAACCCGCTCTTCTTAGTACCTGAAAGCTTCTTGGGGAGGGAGAAAGAGCGGGCTGGCGGAGCCCAATCTTAACCCAAACTCTCTTTCTTTCTTAGGGAAAACCAGCTATGAGAACTCCTCTCCGAGAACTTATCCTGCAGCCTGGTGCTCTTACCAGTTCAGGAAAAGGGCCCCCTATGTGCTCCTCGCTGACCCCATCACTGTGCAAGCTGGGGCTGCAGGTGAGGTTCGCCTGGACAGCTTTTCGACTGGGCTGCTTGCCCAGGCCCAGAGCTCAGAGGAACAGAGGGCCAGGACTGGAACATAATTAATAACGATAATGAAGTCTTCCACCTCAGTGATTTCCATTTACAGCTATTCAGGCCGACAGAGAGGTGCCCTAGGGTGGTTAAAGGAAATCCATTGAGAACCCGAACCTCTATTTTAGCTGTTTTTATTATCTCCTCCCCCCACCCTCGACCTTTCTCAAACTACTGAAAAATACTATCATTCTGATTAGTGGTGGTCTCTAACATGGGCTCCCTTATGGAGAGGCCTGTCTGATGCAAGAGTTAAGCAGTCAGTATCCATTCACTTTAGCAGGTAGTTACAACTCCCCTGGTATCAAGTTATACCACTGGAAGGCTGGATATTTGCTCACCTTAAACTATTCCCTTGCAGAATTGCCCTGAGTTGTACTTTTGTAAAAGGTCTTTAGAAAAGTAGCCATATGCAACCTGCTTTTCAGTTGCTGTAATAATTTGTCAATGAAAGAGACTGACCCTTCCATAAGGTTCCTGGAAGAAACTTTTTAGAACTTACTGCCTAGAAAAATTGTCTTCCTAAAGAAATTGCTATCCTTTTCTCTTTCTGATAATGAAAACTATTAAGTTTATCATATTTTCCATCTAGCTCTGGTTTCTAAAAAGCTCAAAGTCAAATTTGTTAATCAGTTACGGCTACTGTTACTCCTGAAATATGAAAATTTGCTCCCCTCCTACTAGGAATTGAACCCAGAGGCTCTTTTCCAGTAAGCTTCATCCCTAGTCCTTTTTATTTTTTATTTTGAGACAGAGTCTTGCTAAGTTGCCGAAGCTGGCCTTGAATTTATGATCCTCCTGCCTCAGCCTCCCAAGTCATTGGGATTACACATATGTGCCACAGCACCTGACTCCTCTTTCTTTCTTTTTTTAAATATATATTTTTTTAGTTGTCAATGGACCTTTATTTTATTTATTTATATGTGGTGCTGAGAATGAAACCCAGTGTGTCACACATACTAGGCTCTGCCACTGAGCCACAATCCTCCTGTTTCTTTTTTGAACATGATTTTGTTCCTTCTTTTCTTTTAGTGCTGGGGATTGAACGCATGGCCTTGTGCATGCTAGGGAAATGATCTACCACTGAGCTATACCCTGTCCCTATTTCATTAATTTTATCTATCTATCTGTACCAACTCTAGATTCTGATAGAGCTTGAGCCTACTTTAGGAAGGAGACAATAGAAGTGGGCTGGAGTTAGAAATAGAGAGAGGCAAGGTCACATTCAATCTAGTGTCTCCCCATGACATGGATAGATATTGTCAGCCTGTTTATACTTTAGGCTGATTCACCTGAAAGGACCCAATTGGTTTCCTAGCTTTTCTTTCCCTGCTGTTTAGTTGAATAGTAAGGAGCAAGAATTAGCCAAATTCTTACCTAAGCAGAGGTAAGAACTCTTTTCTTTTGTTGAGTTCAGATAGTATCCTGCATCCATAATTGTAATGTTGGGAACTGAATTAACTGCCTTAACCAACTACTTTTGTTTCCTTTGGCAGGAAGGCAGCAACAACTCATCTTCGTTGGATTTTGTTAAAGCCAGCAAGACAGATTCCTCTCCCTCAAAGTGGCTAGAAACTTGTCAGCATGCATCAGATGAACAACCCCTAGATCTGACTCTCCAAACCATTTCTACTCCCAAAACATCTGAGGAAGCAGTAGACCCAATGAATGACTATGTGGTTAAATCCATGGTCCTTGAAGCCTCTCCAGTGGGGCAGCAGCAAGACATTACACTTGAGGATCATTCAGATACCATGGCAGAGACAAACAGCAGCTATCTAAATGAGTCTTTGAAGCCAAGAGATCTGATAAAGGAGACAGCATCCTGCATGGAAGACACCTTTACTGAAGTTGTTGCTGATATGCTTGAGAAACCTACATTGCAGGATTCTCCATCTCTTCTCTTGGAATATCCACCAAATCCTTGTTCTGAGCAACAGCTACACTGCTCCAAGGAAAGCCTGAGGAACAATAGGACTGAAGCTGTTTCTGAGGACTTGGTGTCTTCTGAAAGTAATGTCTTCTTGCCTCCCTCCACATTCAGGCTTTCCCGTTCAACTGCACTGGCAGCAGATTACCCCAACAATCACGTGTATGCAGGAGAGGAAAGTGTAGAGCATAGAGGTATAAAGGAAAGAGAAATGAGCTTTTCCATACTTCCTGAGGAGGTTGAATTGGAAGATCAAGCACTTGTCTCAAATGTAGAAGATGTTCCATCCACGTGCCTAACGCCAAATCTAATGGAAATGGAGTCCCAGGCAGCTCCAGGCCCAGCAGTAGGAGATGCTGGTGAGATTCTTAGTTCTGATACAGAGACTTGGATGTCCCCGTTGGCTTGGCTAGAAAAAGGTGTAAATACCTCAGTCATGTTAGAAAATCTCCGACAAAGCTTATCACTTCCCTCTGTGCTTCAGGATGCTGCCATTGGCACTACGCCTTTCTCTACTTGCTCGGTGGGGACTTGGTTTAGTCCTCCAGCACAAGGAAACAGTATAAACACATCCCAGACAGGCTTGCTGGACACCAAGGATAGTACTTTGGAGACAAAGCCCCTCCTGTTGGGGTAAGTGTCCCCTCTATCCTTGTGCCTCTGGAGCTCCATTCCCCTCTACCTGCCTCTCACACCCCTCCCTTTATTTTCCTCATGTTCTTTTCTTCCTACTGCAGCTGTAATCCTCCAGATCTGACTGCCTTGTCTAGACGGGACCTGGAAGATAACCTGCTGAGCTCTCTTATCATTCTGGAGATTCTTTCTAGACAGCTGCAGGACTGGAAAAGCCAGATGGCTGTCCCTCATCCAGAAACTCGGGGCAGTAGCACACAGACCGATGCCTCTCTTAGTGGGGTAAGAAGCTTTCTCCTAAAGCTTTTTTTTTTTTTTTTTTTTTAAGAGAGAGAGAGAGAGAGAGAGAATTTTAATATTTATTTTTTAGTTTTCGGCGGACACAACATCTTTGTTTGTATGTGGTGCTGAGGATTGAACCTGGGCCGCACGCATGCGAGCTGAGCCCGCTACCGCTTGAGCCACCTCCCCAGCCCTCTCCTAAAGCTTGAAATGTTCTAGTGGGCCCTCTTCCTCAGAATTTAAGCTGATAAGCTGCCAGAGGGCAAAGGGGACTTCTTAATCACATGCTTATTCTAGTATATATGTAAAAGCTGAAAATCTAGAAAAATCTTATCAATCAAAGCAGTGGGTACTCAGTGTACTCCGGGGTACATCAAGACTTTGCAAGGGAATGCAAACAAGGAAAGTTTGAAAGAAATCAACTTCTAGATCTTCATGGTCCAAAAGTATTCTTTTTTTTTTTAATATTTATTTTTTAGCTATAGGTGACACATATCTTTATTTTATTTTTATGTGGTACTGAGGATTGAACTCAGGGCCTCATGCGTGCTAGGTGAGCGCTCTACCACTGAGCCACAATCCCAGCCCCTCCAAAAGTATTCTTAACTAATTTTTTTCTTCTCTACTTCCCCATTCTCACTTGCCCTTGTCCACTTTACTAAAGAAAAGCATGCTTCTCATCCCAGGTCTCTCATAGCAATCAAAGGACAACAGAAAATATTTGTGCACACGTTGAAAGCAAATGACTACAGTGATTATATAATATCATTTCTGCATGTTTTCAACAAAAGTGAAGAAAAACTTTGTTAGTGGATCTTAAATATTTTTGAGGAAAGTTACTGAGTTTTGGCAAGTATTTCCAAACGAATTCAAGTCCTTCCATTTCTACTGATTCTGATTATTTATGTATGGATTTCTTAGTGCTTATATCTATTAAAATGGAAAATAGTCATGAATTTTTGCTGAACCATGTTTTTTTTCTTGGGTATGAGGGATTGAGCTCAGAGGCACTCAACCACTGAGCCACATCCCCAGCCCTCAGGGTCTCACTGAGTTGCTTAGTGCCTTGCTTTTGCTGAGACTGGCTTTGAACTCCTGATGCTCCTGTCTCAGCCTCCTGAGGCGCTGGGATTACAGACCTGTGCCACTGTACCCACCTTGGTCAAAGGAATTTAAAACACATTTTAATTTCAATTTATATGAACTTTATTTTGAGGGGGAAGATACTGGGGATTGAACCAGAGGCTCTTTACCGATATCACCAGTCTTATGCTTCATTTATTTATTTGTTTGTTTATTTATTTATTTTGAGATGGTCTCACTAAGTTGCTAAACTGGAACCTGTGATCCTCCCGCCTAGCCTCTTGAGTTGCTGGTATTACAGGGGTGTGCCACCAGGCCTGGTTGGATGAACTTATTGTTGCAGAAATACTGACTATTAACAGATTTGCAAGTATAAAAATATATTAGAATTAAGG